CTTGATGGAGGGAGCAATTTTTAATCCTCTTGATTGTCTCATCTTGAGCATCTACAGTCATATTTTGTGATTATTATGTTTGCATGATTTCATGTGACTTTGTACAACAAAATTTGAATAAAGAAGATCAGCAGCAGTACATTAAATAGTTGATAAAAAGTTTCAAATTTTTTAGCGCCATTTTTTATGTCGCTTCCTTTTTTCAATAAAAAAATTTTGAAAAATCATTGTTTTTTCATAAAAACTAGCCATGTTATCAGATAATACAAACTCAAACTCAAATTTAGACACTGTTTTACATTTACATACAAGCGATAATGATAGCGATACTACCGAGATTCAACCAGTCTTGGATAAAATTACATTAAATGTCGGTGGCATAAAGGTAACTTTATATGTTTATAATGACAATATTATAAAGTCATAATAATTGATTGTTTTTTAGTATGAAACATTCAGGTCAACTTTGACAGCTTATCCGACAACTTTACTTGGCTCATTGTTTCTCTATGATGACGATGAAAATCCTTTGTATGATGCTCCTAATGAATTTTTTATCGACAGAGATGGACATTTATTTCATTATATTATGCAATTCTATAGAACTGGTAAAGTTCCAACTATTGATCAAGGTAATAATTAAGATGTTTGCCAATGGACGACACGGAAGATTTATTATAAATAATCAATCTCACCTTTTATTTCTATTTCTATTTCTATTTCTTTTTACTCATTTAAAGCAATTGGTTTGATCCCAATAACATCACAAGAATTAGAAGAAGAATTGGAATATTTCAAAATTCCAATATATCCGCAATCTTCCTACTCATCAACCACCTTATCACAGTCACAATTATCACTACGAGATAAAATTATAACTAATGAAATCGACTCTTTTACCACAACTCTAACCAACACTTTATTAACTATTTCACAACAATTCAAAAAAGAATTTTTCTTTAAAAAACAATTCCGAATAAAATTCGAAATAACATTTTATCACAACGATCGCATCTCAGATTTCAATATACAACCCTCGATCAATTCAAGCTTGAAACAACAACTCTACAAAAATCTGGAGAACTTTCAATTGTTAGGTTATGCTATACTGGATAGATTTGGTGATGACATTGGTAGATATATGACAACGAATGTACAGGGTTGTAATTGGGAATGTAAAAGGGTGGAGGAATTTTCTTGGGGTGGTGTTAATAGAATGTATAAAGTTTTGGTCGGCGTAGAAAATAGTTTTGAACATGAAGATATCATCGGCAGCTGTTGTTTATCGTCAGTTGGACCAGATGCTGGTAATAATGCATAATAATAATAATAATAATAATAATAACAATAGTCATCTATATTATATATTACTATTATTACTATTTATTGTTTTTTTTAATCGTGCATTTTTCTATGGCTTTTGTAATATTGGCTAGGAATATGATTATTTATAAAGATGGAAATCCAAAAATAGTTAATTAAATATGTATAAATAGAGTATATCAATGTATTTATAACAATCAATATTATATAATAATCAAATTGATCAATTGGCAGCATTACACTACTTGCATTAATCTAAGATTATTCTTGGTCAACTTTTATTCCTCATTCTCCTCGAAAAATATAACATACTGGATGATCTAATAAATGTATTAGTTGCTGTATTTGGTAAAAGTATATACGAATACCAAATTTCCTGGTGTATTAATATATAGATCCCACATTGGACAATATCTAAAAAAAAGCAATTTATTTGATGAAATATGTGTCATTATTTGTATGATGAATCTTTTTTCTAGAAATATTTTGGTTTAAATA